CATATTCAAGGTCACAAGGAGCAAATATGTTCAAAATATTTAAACAACTTGTTCTGAATAACCAAAAGGCTCAGGTTGTTGATATTTAGTCAGATCAAGGACTACTATGTTTGTTAAAGTGAATGACTTTGACTTATATTCAAGGTCACAGGGGTCAAATTTGTTTAAAATCTTTAAACGACCTCTTCTGAATAACCATGGGTCCCAGGAAGTTGATACTTTGCAAGTTGCATACTGAGATGAAAGGCTATACAATTTGTTCAACATAATGACTTTGTTCGACTTTCAAGGGGTGAAATGTTTTAAAATCTTTTAACAGGTTCTTTTGAATGACTTTAATCATAAATACTGATATTTTGCCTGTAGCTTTATTTTAGATCACTTTTAAGGTTGCAAGTGTGAGATTTATACCAGGTGAGCGATGCAGGCCCATTGGGCCTCTTGTTTTAAACAACCTTTTCTGAATAACCAAAAGGCCCAGGCTGATTTTATTTGGCCAGTAGCATGCTGGGATGAAGGGCTACCAAGTTTGTTCAAATGAATGACCTTGACCCACTTTCAAGGTCACAGGGGTCAAGTGTCTTAAAATCTTCAAAAGACTTCTTCTCAATAACCAAAAGCCCCAGAGTACTGATATTGGGCCTGTAGTATGCTGGGACAAAGGACTGCCAAGTTTGTCCAAATGAATCACCTTGACCCACTTTCAAGGTCACAGGAGTCAAATGTCTTAAAATCTTCTAACGACTTCTCCTCAATAACCAAAAGGCCCAGGGTACTGATATTAGGCCTGTAACATGCTGGGATGAAGGGGTACTAAGTTTGTCCAAGTGAATGACCTTGACCCACTTTCAAGGTCTCATGGGTCAAATGTCTTAAAATATTCAAACAACTTCTTCTCAATAACCAAAAGGCCCAAGGTACTGATATTGGACCTGTAGCATCCTGTGATGAGCGGCTGACAAGTTTGTTTAAATGAATGACCTTGACCCACTTTCAACCTAATGTCCTTGCTCATCATTCAAGGTCACAGGCGTCATATGTTTAAATCTTTTAATAAGTTCTTATGAATCAAACACTGGTATTCTGTCTGTAGCTGTATTTTAGTCCACTTTTAAGATTACAAGTGTGAGATTAATACCAGGTGAGCGATGCAGGCCCATTGGGCCTCTTTTTATTGAAAATTATGATTAAGGGATGGGCTATTATGACCCTTACTCAAGAACATGTTCTTTATTATTTACTGCCATTCTGTACTGATATACCACCTCCTTTATTCCATTATTTGAATCCTTCATACACAGCATCCCTGAGTACTCTCGGCACTTTGATTATAATTATAGAATGTAACACATAGGCCCGCCCTTCAGTTGTCCAGTCATGTGGTATAGCGTCATCGTCATATAGTATATTAATGTCAAACTTTTTTTTTCGTGATGAAGCTCCATATATATTTATTTTTATAAACAAGGACTATCTCTATATATATAGCTATTTATATACAGATAGTTGATGCATGCGTTTCATATCTATATAGGGCAAAACGATATGTAGGTAATGTCAAACAGCTGTGGAGATAGTAATTATTGTCTGGTTAGGAAATGTCATAGTTGTTTAAGGACTCCTTGGTTTATAAGTGTAGGACAGTTTTTATTGTTTTATATATATATATTATAATGTAGTTGTTTAAGGACTCCTTGGTTTATAAGTGTAGGACAGTCTTTATTGTTTTATATATATATATTATAATGTAGTTGTTTAAGGACTCCTTGGTTTATAAGTGTAGGACAGTCTTTATTGTTTTATATATATATATTATAATGTAGTTGTTTAAGGACTCCTTGGTTTATAAGTGTAGGACAGTCTTTATTGTTTTATATATATATATTATAATGTAGTTGTTTAAGGACTCCTTGGTTTATAAGTGTAGGACAGTCTTTATTGTTTTATATATATATATTATAATGTAGTTGTTTAAGGACTCCTTGGTTTATAAGTGTAGGACAGTCTTTATTGTTTTATATATATATATTATAATGTAGTTGTTTAAGGACTCCTTGGTTTATAAGTGTAGGACATGTACAGTCTTTATTGTTTTATATATATATATATTATACTGTAGTTGTTTAAGGACTCCTTGGTTTATAAGTGTAGGACAGTTTTTATTGTTTTATATATATATATTATAATGTAGTTGTTTAAGGACTCCTTGGTTTATAAGTGTAGGACAGTTTTTATTGTTTTATATATATATATTATACTGTAGTTGTTTAAGGACTCCTTGGTTTATAAGTGTAGGACAGTTTTTATTGTTTTATATATATATATTATAATGTAGTTGTTTAAGGACTCCTTGGTTTATAAGTGTAGGACAGTTTTTATTGTTTTATATATATATATTATACTGTAGTTGTTTAAGGACTCCTTGGTTTATAAGTGTAGGACAGTTTTTATTGTTTTATATATATATATTATAATGTAGTTGTTTAAGGACTTCTTGGTTTATAAGTGTAGGACAGTATTTTATTGTTATATATAGGATCTTAAATCAGTTTCATTTCATATGAAATTTTATGAAACGAGTCTTAGGAGTTTTTATTTTTTCGAGCCTTGGCGTGCAAAATCTAAAACTTCGAGACGAGTTTCATTAAAGCTCATGAAATGAAAACAAATTTAAGATACTTTTTATCACATAACTCGGAAAACTTACATTTTGACAGGTTTTAAAGCCCAAATGTAGAGTGCTTAATGAAACGGAGACAGCCATTTTGTTGGGCCATTCACAATTAATGACGTCACGTCATAGTCTATATTATGATGTCACAATCGATTTCTGACTGGCACAGCCAATGAAAAACGCTCCAGGGTATATTGCACTAGTGACATATGTAGAAATATTACACAGGCGAATTCACTGGATAACAGGCCGATTATGTGATAAAAAGGTATATGACTATATTTATAATGTTGTTGTTTAAGGACTCCTTTTGTTCTACTGTATATGAAAATAATGTTCTACTGTATATGAAAATAAATTACTCCCAACACATCAAAGCTTTTAGATCCTAGATAATGTTTACCCAGACACTTTATATATTATGAAAAACATAATTTAGATACCTCTTATTTGGAAAATTGGTGTTGTTTATCAAAACTTTTTTGTGGAAAATGTTTCTTTTTCTTTTAATGGGGTCATTTGATTTTTTACATATTTCCTAATGGATTCTGGTTGCAATAATCAATGTCACACATTATATATCATTACATGTAAATTAATGTTTATTGATCAAAAAAGTCTATTTCTGAATTTGGTTCTGAGAAAAGTTAGTTTGTTATTTGTAAGGTATGAGCCGTGGGGGAATATCCCTAAACTCCTATATTATACTTGAGGATAAAGTCACTCTAATGGTCTTAATCCATCATCTCTCGTTGTAAATCATTTGTAAACTTCAGAACAACGCTATGGTGCAGCTGTATACATTATTTAACTACATGCGACATACATGTTTGTAGACCCCAATGTTGTCTTACTCAATCAGAAGTCAACAGCACTGTAGTTATTTAACACATCTAAAGTTTTCTGCCTACCATAAAGTCACAGCATCACATTTAGCATGTGGTACAAAAGGAGTGACATCTGGAAAGGGGCTGGACTAATGGGGGAGGGGGTACACCGTGACTTCTAAAGGCCTAGAATTCACATACTACACAGAAACATACATGTGTTTTAAATTGTTTGGACAGAAGCTTAAATGCAAGCGGATTTATACATTTAACTCTATACATGTTAGGAAAATATTTCTCCGATACCTAACATAGAAATATAAAGGATAAGAAAGCAGTAAAATGGGGGTGAAAGAAAAATCTTACAAATGTGACATTAATCATGACATTTATACCATGAAGACATTTACATGACGTCATGATTTACAACCAAACACTCCAACATGGAAGCTGACAGAAACACTTTCTCACAACATATAGATCTAGACATCCTTCTGATTTATAGTATCTGGACCATCTTCTACACAGTGGTAATATCCCTTCAGATCAGTTGGTATAGCTGCAGACTGGTAAGCTTTGGGTTTCTGGTTCTATCCCTGATTGAAGCAAGTATACTATGCTCTTCCTGTTACAAATTGGTATTTGTGGCCCTCCCTGTTGTGACCGAGATTTAAAGAACAGGGGTTGAATTGATGGTTAAGGGTGAACATTCACATTTAAAAAAAGGGGAGAGTAAGTAGTGTTGCAGGTTTTAAGAGCAATAGGATCACAGTCACCTTCAAACTTTGCCTTTGAGGAAATCTCCCTTCAATTCATTTAGAAGGAGAGTAGGCTGGGAGTCACTGGTTTGATCCCGACAGGAGGGGAGGCTGGGATACTGGGGGTCACTGGTTTGATCCAGACAGAAGGAGGGTAGGCGGGGATGCTGGGAGTCCCTGGTTTGATCCCGACAGCAGGAGGGTAGGCTTGGACGCTGGGAGGCACTGGTTAGATCCCGACAGAAGGAGGGAAGGTTGGGATGCTGGAAGTCACTGGTTTGATCCCGACAGAAGGAGGGTAGGCTGGGATACTGGGAGTCACTGGTTTGATCCCGACAGAAGGAGGGTAGGTTGGGATGCTGGGAGTCACTGGTTTGATCCCGACAGAAGGAGCAGTTCACACTACCCTTGACAAAGTCTCTAGATCTGGTATATCTACAATTCATTACACTCAGGCGGAATTCCCATATCTCCCACACACCCATGAAAGTATCTTATTATATGATATATATATGTTATATCATCTATATGCTAGTTTATACCACCTACTGGTAGTGTGATAAATTCATTATCGTGGGTTGTCACTATTAAAAAACTCAAGAAGTTGAGAACAACTTGAGAATGGATTTTCCCACTTGGGAACATATTTTCTCAAAAAAGAACATCTGCTCGTGCCAGGTGACATCGTGAACCAGAAATAGTATCCACACAATGGTGATCCGTGTAAGCAAAGAGTCTGTCATTAAACAAATCAATATAAAGTGATGATTTTTTTTGTGTGAAGATAACAACACCATTTTAAGCGTAAATGTGCATAATATGGAGAAGCCAATGATGATAAGATTGTTTTAAAAATATTTTCTACATAGTTTTTAGGTTCATAGAACTCCTCCTCACAAATCTTCTATTTGTTTACATTAATCACAGACTGAGGATCTTGCAATGAATTGTCATTGAGCATAGAAGTCATTTTGAAAGTAGGTAGGTAGTAGTGTATAGTTGATAAACAGTTTATCACACAGTGTTTTCAGGGTTTGTCATTCGAACAATTATCTCCTCATTCACACATGGATGAAATCTCGAGTCCACGTGTGGTGGCCTCCCAATTTCATCCATGTGCTGGTGATGAGGAAATTGTTCTCGTGACATTCCCTGAAAGCACAATGTGGTAATCTATAAGTCTAATCAGCCGAGACATTTTCAACTTATTTCCTGTTTACTAACTAATAAACCAAAGTCCTGATGAAATCTCTGTGATAGAGGCAAAACTAGTAGACCAAAGTCCTGATGAAATCTCTGTGATAGAGGCAAAACTAATAAACCAAAATCCTGATGAAATCTCTGTGATAGAGGCAAAACTAGTAGACCAAAGTCCTGATGAAATCTCTGTGATAAAGGCTAGACTAGTAGACCAAAGTCCTGATGAAATCTCTGCGATAGAGGCAAAACTAGTGATTTTGATGGGTTACAAGAAAGCTGACTTGAGCCCAGAATCCATGCTTGAGCATGAGAACGTTTTCATGAATACGGGTCCAGGTTTGACCTTTGTGTAGTACAGGTTTGACCTTTGTGTAGTACAGGTTTGACCTTTAAGCGGTACATCAGTTGTGAAGTACAGGTTTAACCTTTAAGTGGTACATTAGTTGTGTAGTACATGTTTGACCTTTGTGTAGTACATGTTTGACCTTTGTGTAGTACAAGTTTGACCTTTAAGCGGTACATCAGTTGTGTAGTACAGGTTTGACCTTTGTGTAGTATAAGTTTGACCTTTAAGCGGTACATCAGTTTTGTAGTACAGGTTTGACCTTTGTGTAGTACAGGTTTGACCTTTAAGCGGTACATCAGTTGTGTAGTACAGGTTTGACCTTTAAGTGGTACATCAGTTGTGAAGTACAGCTTTAACCTTTAAGCGGTACATCAGTTGTTTAGTACAGGTTTGACCTTTGTGTAGTACAGGTTTAACCTTTAAGCGGTACATTTTTTAGGATCAATTGGTAGAGTAACTATAGAGTGAGTGTTTTTTTGCATATCAAGTATTTAAAAAGAAGAATATGAAAAAAAAAAAAAATCAGTAACCATTTTTTGTATTTTCAGATGATGCTCCATGCCTGGAACAACTATGAGAAGCATTCCTGGGGTGCTAACGAACTCCGCCCAATTACTAAACGAGGCCACAGTGCCAGTATCTTTGGGACACTGAGTCTAGGAGCCACAATTGTTGATGCTGCTGATACCCTGTACATTATGGGATTACAGGACGAGTACAAGAAGGCTAGAGACTGGATCGCTACTTCACTGTCATTTGAAGGGGTCAGTATTACACTACTTCATGCAGTATGTATAAGGGTCAGAGTTCATTCTCATCACTGCTTTTGGTGAAAGTTTCGGAGTTCATTTTCATTAATGCTGTTTGGTGTAAGGGTCAGAGGTCATTCTCATTAATGCTTTTGGTGAAAGGGTCAGAGGTCATTCTCACTAATGCTTTTGGTGTAAGGGTCAGAGGTCATTCTCATTAATACTTTTGGTGTAAGGGTCAGAGTTCATTTCCATCACTGCTTTTGATGTAAGGGTCAGAGGTCATTCTTATCACTGCTGTTGAATTAAGGGTCAGAGGTCATTCTCATCACTGCTGTTGATTTAAGGGTCAGAGTTCATTCTGATTATAGTTTTGAGTTGAAGGATTTTTATGAGAAGGTTCAATCAGTGGATTTACCTGTTATCAAGTCTGTACTGGTACAGCATTAACTTTGTCTTTCACTGGTAAAATCTGTATTGGTACAGCATTAACTTTGTCTTTCACTGGTAAAGTCTGTATTGGTACAGCATTAACTTTGTCTTTCACTGGTAAAATCTGTATTGGTACAGCATTAATCTTGTCTTTCACGGGTAAAATCTGTATTGGTACAGCATTAACTTTGTCTTTCACTAGTAAAGTCTGTATTGGTACAGCATTAATTTTGCCTTTCACTGGTAAAGTCTGTATTGGTACAGCATTAATCTTGCCTTTCACTGGTAAAATCTGTATTTGTACAGCATTAACTTTGTCTTTCACATGTAAAGTCTGTATTGGTACAACATTAACTTTGTCTTTCACTGGTAAAATCTACATTGGTACAGCATTAACTTTGCCTTTCACTGGTAAAATCTACATTGGTACAGCATTAACTTTGCCTTTCACTGGTAAAATCTACATTGGTACAGCATTAACCTTGCCTTTCACTGGTAAAATCTGTTTTGGTACAGCATTAATTTTGCCTTTCACTGGTAAAATCTGTATTGGTACAGCATTAACTTTGTCTTTCACATGTAAAGTCTGTATTGGTACAGCATTAACTTTGTCTTTCACTGGTAAAATCTATATTGGTACAGCATTAACTTTGCCTTTCACTGGTAAAGTCTGTATTGGTACAGCATTAATTTTGCCTTTCACTGGTAAAATCTGTATTGGTACAGCATTAACTTTGTCTTTCACTGGTAAAGTCTGTATTGGTACAGCATTAATCTTGTCTTTCACATGTAATGACCATAGATAGTATGTTGGGTTTTAATATTTGCTGTCAGGATAAATGAAGCCTAATGATGGACGGTGAAAGTTTTGCTGTGGCAATAATTTCTCATTTTGCAGTATGAGAGTGTGCTGTCGTTTATCCGTGGTAGTGTATAAGGAGTGGTAGATATAATATCTGGTGACTGTTGGTGTACAGTATATATACAATTTTATTGTCTGACATGGTCAATTGTACAGCTGTACATACACAGCCATTCAGGATTACCTATGCTTGGTCAGTGAAGTAGAAGATGTTGATGACGGTAGCCCTGTCTGATGTATATAACACTGGTACATTTCAATTTGTTGTCCTGTACAGGGCCTAACCCTCCTGGGGAGGAGATGGGACAGAGCAATCAGACTAGATATTGATTGGGTGTGAATTTGGAATAATAGTTAGTGTAACTGATCCATCAATTGATGGGCCATGGATGTGTAGCTCTGGCCTATTACTACTCCCCAGGGCTGGCATAATTAATGTGTAGTTTAGGACTGTCACGATTCATGTGTTATGTGTTAGTCTACTAATCTGATGTCATGTTTGTCTAAGGTTAAAAAGTCATGCTTGTCTTAAACTTATACACTAAAGTCAGGCATGTCTAAATAAAGGTCAAAAAGTCATGCTTGTCTAAAGGTAAAAAGTCATGCTTGTCTTAAATTTATACAGTAAAGTCAGCCATGTCTAAAGGTCAAAAAGTCATGCTTCTCTTAAACTTACCATGCTTCTCTTAAACTTACCATGCTTGTCTAAAACTTGTACAGTAAAGTCAGTTATGTCTAAAGGTAAAAATCTATGCTTGTCTTAAACTTATACAGTTAAGTCATACAAAAAAAATCATTTGCTGATTCAAAGGTTCCATTATGTTTCAAGAAGGCACATGTCAGACCATTGTTAAAGAAGCCTGGAATGGACAAGGAGGAGTTGAAAAACTACCGCCCTGTTTCAAATCTGCCTTTTCTGTCTAAGATCTTAGAGAAGGTCTGTCCTCGTGTTTAGAGGTTCATCTCCATGCAAACAGTCTCAATAACAACATGCAATCGGCCTACCGCATGGGACACTCTACTGAGACGGCCCTCCTACGTGTACATAGTGATATAGCTTCTGCATTGGATAACAAGTGCAGAGTGGTGCTTGTCATGCTGGACTTGTCAGCTTGCATTTGATGTCATCGACCAAGTCATGCATGTTTAAAACTAATACAGTAAAGTCATGCATGTCTAAAACTTATACAGTAAAGTCATGCATGTCTAAATGTAAAAAGTCATGATTGTCTTAAACTTGTACAGTAAAGTCATTTTTGTCTAAATGTAAAAAAGTCATGCTTGTATTAAACTTGTACAGTAAAGTCATTCATGTCTAAATGTAAAAAGTCATGCTTGTCTTAAACTTGAACAGTAAAGTCGTGTTTGTCTAAATGTAAAAAGTCATGCTTGTCTTAAACTTGTACAGTAAAGTCAGGCATGTCTAATGGTAAAAAAAGCAATCTTGTCTAAAACCTATTCAGATATTTATGCTCTTCTGAATATTATAAAGTAACGGGCCCAGGGCATTAAGTGTCATTACTGGCCTCACCATGGATTTAGAATTAGTTGTTATATTCGTAATTTTGGATAAAAGAAGTACGCAAACATGACATTTCAAATTCAATTTATAACTAGTATAGGAGATATAGCTTATCAAAAATAGGTATAAATAGGCATATTTCATAATAAAATGTGTGAATTTCGTCTATTGTGTGCTTTTAAACTAGGCCATTTTGAAGCAAATTTACTTAATGCTTTTCAATTTCATAAACCAAAGAAATATTTGGCATGCTTTAACATTTTCATACCTGTGTTCATTCGTAGCAAGAAATGTTTGGTTTTCGCATGAAGTGGTTTTCATTTCTGATTGCTAAATGTCTTAAAACATCATATTTGGCTATTTCTGTATAGCAATGCAATTTTGTTGCTATGTTTGGGCATCTTATGCATTCGGTTTGAAAAAATCTGTACCAGGAAAGATAGCATCATTAAGCCAATATGATTGGTGAGCTGAATTTATACTTTTTATGAGGCCATAACATTCCACAACCTTTTGATATGTCAAAAACCTAGACAGTAGAGTCATGTCTTAAACTTACAAAAATCTAGACAGTAGAGTCATGTCTTAAACTTACAAAAATCTAGACAGTAGAGTCATGTCTTAAACTTACAAAAATCTAGACAGTAGAGTCATGTCTTAAACTTACAAAAATCTAGACAGTAGAGTCATGTCTTAAACTTACAAAAATCTAGACAGTAGAGTCATGTCTTAAACTTACAAAAATCTAGACAGTAGAGTCATGCTTGTCTTAAACTTTCAAAATCCTTCATTGTAATGTTAGCTAATCATTTGTTTTTTCTTCTTGTAGGCGACTGAGCTGTCTGTATTTGAGACCAACATCAGATTTGTGGGTGGACTACTGTCGCTGTATGGGTTGACTGGGGACCAGGTATGTATGTAACTGGTGATGATTTACTGACAGAAACTGTAGCGTGCGAAATGTTTAAAGTATACACAGCTATATATTCACTGATGAGGATTGAAAACAAATATCACAGACTTTTTTTGTCTATTACAGATATACAAGACTAAAGCTAAGAACGTTGCTGACAAGCTGTTGCCTGCCTTTAAAACAGCAACAGGCATACCTCAGTCTATGGTCAATACAAAAACGTAAGTATATCAAGTATGTTAGACCTACCAACTTTATTTCTGAACAAAGTCAATACATATGTCAAGTATGAGTTTGTGTTTCCGGGTCCCAATGCTCAGATCACTGTTGCTTTTGATATTAGCGTAACTTTCGGGCACCAAAGCTCTTTAATTGTCACACATGCATAAGTAAAGGTATAGAGATAATACAGAGTTACTTCTATTGCTATGTTTCCTTTGAAATTCTGTTCTTCGAGAAACCAAAAACCAGAACTCCTGTGTAGAAAGAAAGAAGTATACCCATGAAATGCAGTAAGAAATTGACATTTTTAACACGTACACTTCCATCTGCTTAAGCTGAAAGCAGTGTTTTTATGTCTAGACTAACCCTACTACCCAGGACTGGCCTGATTAATGTGTAGCTAGACTATCCCTACTACCCCGGACTGGCCCGATTAATGTGTAGCTCTAGACTATCCCTACTACCCAGGACTGGCCTGATTAATGTGTAGCTAGACTATCTCTACTACCCAGGACTGGCCTGATTAATGTGTAGCTAGACTATCCCTACTACCCAGGACTGGCCTGATTAATGTGTAGCTAGACTATCCCTACTACCCAGGACTGGCCTGATTAATGTGTAGCTAGACTATCCCTACTACCCAGGACTGGCCTGATTAATGTGTAGCTAGACTATCCCTACTACCCAGGACTGGCCTGATTAATGTGTAGCTAGACTATCCCTACTACCCAGGACTGGCCTGATTAATGTGTAGCTAGACTATCCCTACTACCCAGGACTGGCCTGATTAATGTGTAGCTAGACTATCCCTACTACCCAGGACTGGCCTGATTAATGTGTAGCTAGACTATCCCTACTACCCAGGACTGGCCTGATTAATGTGTAGCTAGACTATCCCTACTACCCAGGACTGGCCTGATTAATGTGTAGCTAGACTATCCCTACTACCCAGGACTGGCCTGATTAATGTGTAGCTAGACTATCCCTACTACCCAGGACTGGCCTGATTAATGTGTAGCTAGACTATCCCTACTACCCAGGACTGGCCCGATTAATGTGTAGCTAGACTATCCCTACTACCCAGGACTGGCCTGATTAATGTGTAGCTAGACTATCCCTACTACCCAGGACTGGCCCGATTAATGTGTAGCTAGACTAACCCTACTCCCCAGGACTGGCCCGATTAATGTGTAGCTAGACTATCCCTACTATCCAGGACTGGCCTGATTAATGTGTAGCTCTAGACTATCCCTAGTACTACCCAGGACTGGCCTGATTAATGTGTAACTAGACTATCCCTACGACCCAGGACTGGTCCGATTAATGTGTAGCTAGACTATCCCTACTTCCCAGGACTGGCCTGATTAATGTGTAGGTAGACTATCCCTACTACCTAGGACTGGCCCGATTAATGTGTAGCTAGACTATCCCTACTATCTTGGACTGGCCCGATTAATGTGTAGCTAGACTATCCCTACTTCCCACGACTGGCCTGATTAATGTGTAGGTAGACTATCCCTACTACCCAGGACTGGCCTGATTAATGTGTAGCTAGACTATCCCTACTACCTAGGACCGGCCTGATTAATGTGTAGCTAGACTATCCCTACTCCCAAGGACTGGCCCAATTAATGTGTAGCTAGACTATCCCTACTACCCAGGACTGGCCTGATTAATGTGTAGCTCTAGACTATCCCTACTGTAGCTAGACTATCCCTACTATCCTGGACTGGGCCGATTAATGTGTAGCTAGACTATCCCTAGTACTTCCCAGGACTGGCCCGATTAATGTGTAACTAGACTATCCCTACTACCCAGGACTGGCCCGATTAATGTGTAGCTAGACTATCCCTACTACCCAGGACTGGCCTGATTAATGTGTAGCTAGACTATCCCTACTATCCTGGACTGGCCCGATTAATGTGTAGCTAGACTATCCCTAGTACTACCCAGGACTGGCCCGATTAATGTGTAACTAGACTATCCCTACTACCCCGGACTGGCCTGATTAATGTGTAGCTAGACTGTCCCTACTATCCTGGACTGGCCCGATTAATGTGTAGATAGACTATCCCTAGTACTACCCAGGACTGGCCCGATTAATGTGTAGCTAGACTATCCCTACTACCAAGGACTGGCCTGATTAATGTGTAGCTAGACTATCCCTACTATCAAGGAATGGCCTGATTAATGTGTAGCTAGACTATCCCTACTATCCTGGACTGGCCGGATTAATGTGTAGCTAGACTATCCCTACTACCCAGGACTGGCCCGATTAATGTGTAACTAGACTATCCCTACTACCCAGGACTGGCCCGATTAATGTGTAGCTAGACTATCCCTACTACCAAGGACTGGCCCGATTAATGTGTAGCTAGACTATCCCTACTACCCAGGACTGGCCCAATTAATGTGTAGCTCTAGACTATCCCTACTACCCAGGACTGGCCTGATTAATGTGTAGCTAGACTATCCCTACTTCCCAGGACTGGCCTGATTAATGTGTAGCTATACTATCCCTACTACCCAGGACTGGCCTGATTAATGTGTAGCTAGACTATCCCTACTACCCAGGACTGGCCCGATTAATGTGTAGCTAGACTATCCCTACTACCCAGGACTGGCCCGATTAATGTGTAGCTAGACTATCCCTACTACCCAGGACTGGCCCGATTAATGTGTAGCTAGACTATCCCTACTACCCAGGACTGGCCTGATTAATGTGTAGCTAGACTATCCCTACTACCCAGGACTGGCCTGATTAATGTGTAGCTAGACTATCCCTACTACCCAGGACTGGCCTGATTAATGTGTAGCTAGACTATCCCTACTACCCAGGACTGGCCTGATTAATGTGTAGCTAGACTATCCCTACTACCCAGGACTGGCCTGATTAATGTGTAGCTAGACTATCCCTACTACCCAGGACTGGCCTGATTAATGTGTAGCTAGACTATCCCTACTACCCAGGACTGGCCTGATTAATGTGTAGCTAGACTATCCCTACTACCCAGGACTGGCCTGATTAATGTGTAGCTAGACTATCCCTACTACCCAGGACTGGCCTGATTAATGTGTAGCTAGACTATCCCTACTACCCAGGACTGGCCTGATTAATGTGTAGCTAGACTATCCCTACTACCCAGGACTGGCCTGATTAATGTGTAGCTAGACTATCCCTACTACCCAGGACTGGCCTGATTAATGTGTAGCTAGACTATCCCTACTACCCAGGACTGGCCTGATTAATGTGTAGCTAGACTATCCCTACTACCCAGGACTGGCCTGATTAATGTGTAGCTAGACTATCCCTACTACCCAGGACTGGCCTGATTAATGTGTAGCTAGACTATCCCTACTACCCAGGACTGGCCTGATTAATGTGTAGCTAGACTATCCCTACTACCCAGGACTGGCCTGATTAATGTGTAGCTAGACTATCCCTACTACCCAGGACTGGCCTGATTAATGTGTAGCTAGACTATCCCTACTACCCAGGACTGGCCTGATTAATGTGTAGCTAGACTATCCCTACTACCCAGGACTGGCCTGATTAATGTGTAGCTAGACTATCCCTACTACCCAGGACTGGCCTGATTAATGTGTAGCTAGACTATCCCTACTACCCAGGACTGGCCTGATTAATGTGTAGCTAGACTATCCCTACTACCCAGGACTGGCCTGATTAATGTGTAGCTAGACTATCCCTACTACCCAGGACTGGCCTGATTAATGTGTAGCTAGACTATCCCTACTACCCAGGACTGGCCTGATTAATGTGTAGCTAGACTATCCCTACTACCCAGGACTGGCCTGATTAATGTGTAGCTAGACTATCCCTACTACCCAGGACTGGCCTGATTAATGTGTAGCTAGACTATCCCTACTACCCAGGACTGGCCTGATTAATGTGTAGCTAGACTATCCCTACTACCCAGGACTGGCCTGATTAATGTGTAGCTAGACTATCCCTACTACCCAGGACTGGCCTGATTAATGTGTAGCTAGACTATCCCTACTCCCCAGGACTGGCCTGATTAATGTGTAGCTAGACTATCCCTACTACCCAGGACTGGCCTGATTAATGTGTAGCTAGACTATCCCTACTACCCAGGACTGGCCTGATTAATGTGTAGCTAGACTATCCCTACTACCCAGGACTGGCCTGATTAATGTGTAGCTAGACTATCCCTACTACCCAGGACTGGCCTGATTAATGTGTAGCTAGACTATCCCTACTACCCAGGACTGGCCTGATTAATGTGTAGCTAGACTATCCCTACTACCCAGGACTGGGTCGATTAAAGTGCAGCTAGACTATCCCCATTACCCAGGACTGGCCAAATTTATGTGTTGCTCTTGACTATCCCTACTACCCTGGACTGGCCCGATTAATGTGTAGCTAGACTATCCCTACTGCCCAGGACTGGCCCGATTAATGTGTAGCTCTAGACTATCCCTAGTACTACCCAGGACGGGCCTGATTAATGTGTAGTTCTAGACTATCCCTACTACCCAGGACTGGCCCGATTAATGTGTAGCTCTAGACTAGCCCTACTACCCTGGACTGGCCCGATTAATGTGTAGCTAGACTATCCCTACTACCCCGGACTGGCCTGATTAATGTGTAGCTAGACTATCCCTACTATACTGGACTGGCCCGATTATTGTGTAGCTCAGTGCTGCATCCCAGGACTGTCACCATTGATGTGTAATGCTTAAACTAGTAATCTGGTGCAATGTTTCTCTAAGGTAAAAAAGTCATGTTTGTCTAAACATATCAACATATAAAGGAGGGTGTGTTACTGTATGATGTAGTGTTGTCTATATAAAGGTTGGTGTGTTACTGTATGATGTAGTGTTGTCTATATAAAGGAGGGTGTGTTACTGTATGATGTAGTGTTGTCTATATAAAGGTGGGTGTGTTACTGTATGATGTAGTGTTGTCTATATAAAGG